AATAAAGACTCTGCTCAGATTAGCATTAGCTCATCAGTCTATGTCAAAACTTATTTTACTAAATGCAGGTCCTTTGAAAGAACACCTACAAAAGGTAAGATATTGATTGTTCATAACGTTTCATAGAACCCCAATGAAAAAAGGCTCAAACCATCAACTTGCAATGTTTTTAATTTTGTTCATAATGGTTTAATACTTGCCATTAAATCTGTTATTAGAGACTTTATATAATATTTACAAAAGGACATCATAAAGAAACATAAACCAACATTTGCTAAAAAGTGAKCTTTTCTCTGGATTGAGTGCGGTTGGAAAACAACGATTTTGGCGTTCACACAACGGGTGAGACTTTGAATCATGTTTTCTTTCTAGGCAGCTTTCACGGGGCAGCTTTGAATCAAAACTTCCTCACTMACATCTGGTTTTCTGCGAACAGGAATGGGTGGGGGTGAATCAAAAGAGTAGAAACATAACTGAACGACACTGAAGACCTAAAATAAAAGMTAATCATTTGTATGGAGTTGAGTTATTGACCTTATTGTTTCCATCCGGCTGTGCAAAACACGTTTTTTTCCTCTTCCAGTTTGTTTCACTAATTTCTTCCAGATAGCAGTCGAAGGTCAAAGGAGCTGGAAGATCTCGTGCCAGATATTGTGTATAGATATAGATACCACAGTTTTTAATTTCTCTCAACCCTTGCAGCACTGCAAACACGGCCTGTGCATAGCCAGGGAGCGTGACGCCGCGCCTGTGGAGGGGGCGTGGGGAGTTTGGAGTCCCTTCGGCACCTGTTCACGGACGTGTGGCGGCGGCATAATGATAGCGATGCGCGAATGCAACCGGCCCTTGTGAGTACTCCGCATGTCCGTGTCTTTGTTGTCAACCGCGACTGGTGTTTCCATCCCTGCTGCCAAAGTCACTGTTCCACAGCTCAAACCTTTTAAAGGGGATTCCTTCCTTGGCAAGAGCTCATCCAATCAGGCTCTCTGCTGCAGATCTTAAAAGGATGTTTATTGGTAAATGCAGGGATCGGTCACTTCCTGACTAGTGCCTKTCATCCTGAATGAAAGAAATAAATGTAATGAGAATGAGTTGGAAATGGTAACTAAATACAGTATACAAAGCAGAAAAAGTAAGGAAATTTGTGTTTGGTAGATTATTTCTCTGCTGTAACAATGATTCAATGATTCTTAAATGAATATACTGGGCACCTGCTTGGCAGCACCTGGGAGTATCAAAAGCTGAAAACAAGAGTCAGGAACATCAGCGAAATGTGTGCTACCTTGCTCATCCCACTCATATATTAGTAGTAGTATCCTTTATTTGACCAGGAACTGCATGTTCCTTACATATGTKGCACCATTTAAAGGGGAAATTAACAGACTTACTGAAAGAGTTTCTAACGGAGGCAAATATCAGTCCTCTTACTTGGATCATTTCTGTCTCAGGCCAAGGAACGGAGGGATGTACTGCGTCGGCCGCCGGATGAAGTTCCGTTCTTGCAACTCGGAGCCCTGCTCAAAGCAAAAGAAGGACTTCAGGGAGGAGCAGTGCGCTGCTTTTGATGGCAGGCACTTCAACATTAACGGCCTACCTTCCAACGTTCGCTGGGTGCCCAAATACAGCGGAAGTGAGTTCTTTTGTTTTCCCCCTCTCGCTCACTAAGAGCCTCTTTTTGCTTTCATAATCCTGCATAATGAAACGCCTTGCCTTTCATTTGATCTGTATAAAGATTTGCTCTTGTTTTGTCTCCGTCTCAGTCCTGATGAAGGACAGGTGTAAGCTGTTCTGCAGAGTGGCGGGCAGCACGGCCTATTATCAGCTCAGGGACAGGGTCATCGATGGCACGCCATGTGGACCCGACACTAACGACATCTGTGTGCAGGGCCTGTGCAGGGTGAGACTTCTTACTGATTCAAATCATCACTCCTGTCAGCGACTGTAACCGTGTGGAGTCAATTTTCACTTCCTTATAGTTAATTCATTCAGTCTTTTGCTGAATCAGACTGTCTTTTCAAATGATCAACATTACTTTTCTCAAACTTTCATCAATCTGCTTCTTAAAAGAAGCTGTGGGTTTTCCTGTGTACCCTCTCAACCACACACACAGTTTTGATTCAACTGCTGCTCATTAAGCTGCTTTTCTCCTGGCAAATTTATTCTTTGATCCAAAAAAAAGAAAAAAAAAAACAAGACAGAAAACAAAAACACAAAAGATGTCTTCTCTGCAGGAGGGGCGGTTTATTTTAAAACGCTTTGTGTTTTTTTAAATTCAAGTTTACACGATTTTTGTCAAAAAGCAATAATAATAAACATTTAGATTTTTTTCTTTCATGTTTTTTTATTTTTTATTTTTATAAATAAGGATGTTAATGATTCAGAGAATGTTTCTTTTCATTGCTGCTGCYTTTGTGCTGATGAATGAAAATATTTTTGATTCGTTTTTAATTTCCTTCCACCATTACCTCCTCTGTTGCTGCTTTTTTCTCGCGCAGCAAGCCGGCTGCGATCATGTACTGAACTCTAAAGCCAGGCGAGACAAGTGTGGCGTGTGCGGAGGCGATAACTCTTCCTGCAAAACAGTAGCAGGCACCTTCAACATCGTACACTACGGTGAGTTTCTTTTATAACTCCATCAGTCTCCGTTCAGTACAGACTGAATAAACGAGGCTTATTGCATTCGTCTCTATTTGTTTTTGTCAGAAAAAACAGCCCTGATGAGCTCATTTGTTTGTGTAGCCACAGAAAGAGGTGTGTTAATGATCTGAACGTATTCACAGGCTATAATGAAGTAGTCCGAATACCCAGTGGTGCTACAAACATAGATGTGCGTCAGCACAGCTACTCAGGGAAACCGGAGGATGACAACTACCTCGGTGAGATTTACTAAATTTGTCTYGTGTTTTCATTTTCTTTACATTCTCTGAAGCTGGAGGAAGAAACTCCCTTTCTTTTACCATTGTGCCTCTCTCTCTGCCTGTTTAGTAACCTCTTGACCCACATGCCATCGGCACCTGGGGCAAAACAGCATTTCCTGTTYTCTATTTCTTTTAACTTTTGTTAACTTAAGATCTGTCAGTTGAACATGGACATGTTTGGTGCCAATAGAAACAGAACATTGGCTAAAAGCTCATCATWTAAACCATTTGTACGTCYACCAAGTTCAAACRTCAAGCATTTGAATCAGAAAGTAAACAAATTGTACAAAATGACATCAGTTCAAATCTGTAAATACATTACATCAAATCTGTAAAAAACATAATTTTTTGCCTTTTTATTAAGAAAGTCAAAGTCTTTGTTTTTAAGCAAGTTAGACCTGTGAAACGCGTCACTCTTCACTGCGTCCATGTGGTTTTGCATGTGTGAGGGTAGTCACTAAGCAGTCCGGGTTCTCCCAGGATGATTGCTGTTTTCGACAGCCGTATTAGTGTAATGTGTGAAATGGCCAGGAAGGTAAAGGCAGGAAATTAGCTCCATAATCGCATTAGAGCAACGAGAGCTGCTTGGTGAGGAGAACAGGATGCCCCACGATGGCACTTCTTCTGGAAAAGAGGATTATTTTTCGCACAGGGGTGTGAAACTCAGTAACACAGAGGGAGGGGAGGGGCAAAATGAAAAAAAAAACTGTAGCTTTAAGGCAATCTGGGTCAATGTTTAATAAAAATACCAATACAAACTGCTGAAAAATATGAAATACATATAGTACATRTATCAATATCAATTACTTTTTTATCTTAATATGTGTATATTATATTGAATTTAGAGCAAGCATAACTTATTTAGCCTGGTTACAACCAGACYYTGTCCTTCACTTTGMTTCGTACAAGGGTCTGGACTTGCTGCATAGAGAAGTGATTCTTGCAGGAGGCGTGGCCTCTGCTGAAGCATGTATGTGTTGTTGCTGTGACGGAGGCTATGCTAAGAAGCTAACAGGAAATCAYGTRTGCTGTAAACAACCCTACTGAGAGGAGAAATATACAGAGCCGAACGAGACGACTGTAAATGAGAGCTGCTGCTTTGTCAGACAAATTTAATTTAATTTGGAAGCCTTATYAACACAGACTGGCTTCATTCACTTCCTCCACTGCCATATGCTAAAGTAACTAGCAGACACTGCGCAGAAAATTAACATCATTCAAAACTCCACTTTCTGTTCTCTGATTGGTCCAGGTAAAATAAACTACAAGYAGACACTGTGCAGAAAATTGACGTTCTCTTCTCTGATTGGCCCGGCTAAAAATCTGCCAGCGAAATCCTTGTTAATGGGAGAAATCCCAGACGGAGCAGTGAAGGGAAACTAGAATTGAGCAGAAGTGCATAGAAAGGCAAGGGCCAGACTAAAACTTATTGACTAAAGGAAAAAAAGATCCCATTTTAAAGGACACCCAACGAAATTTAAGAACCCATTTAGGGGAGTTTCTGTCTTAAAAAACTGGCTGCAGGAACTCAGTTGCTAAACAAGGCAAAGCAAAAGTTGCAACAAAGACTTTAAAAGTAAACTGAGTTTGACTCCTGTGTTTATGCCTTAAAATACAGTTTGTCCAGGCTTTCCCTGCTGCCCCCCAGTTTCAGGTTCTTCATTTTGTTCGTGTTTTAAACATCAAAGTTTTCTCGGAGCGATCTTGCAGTTGAGTAAACCCAGCTTGAGCCCAACACCAGTCGCGGTCTCACGTGGTTTCTGTCTTCCCGCAGCCGTCTCAAACAGCCGCGGAGAATTCCTGCTGAATGGAGAATTTGTGGTCAGCATGTTCAAAAGGGAAATCAAAGTGGGCGACGCTGTCGTAGAGTACAGCGGCTCRGATCACGTGGTTGAAAGGATCAACTGCACTGATCGCATCGAAGAGGAGGTCGTTGTTCAGGTAAACCGCACTGAAGGTGTATTCTTTGTATCCCATTCAATAAAAACAAAAAGAAGAAAAAAGGACATGATAAACAATACAGAATATGAATTTGTGAATACTTAGTTGATCTTCAAAAATGGTGCTTTAATTTGAAAAACTTGGATTGTTCACCTGTAATTCCACTGTAATGGATTTCACCCTGCCTGCCTTCCTTCCAGGTGCTGTCTGTCGGGAACCTTTACAACCCAGATGTCAGGTACTCCTTTAATATCCCCATAGAGGATAAGCCTCAGCAGTTCTTCTGGGACGCTTATGGGCCCTGGCAGGAGTGCAGTCGTCTGTGCCAAGGTGAGGGGGAGGCACATGTGGTTGGCAGACTGATGTGTTTGGAAAGGTCAAAGCAAAAATGGGGTTAGAGTCGAGACGGGATGGAGGGAAGGAGACAGAGTCAGGAACAAAAGCAATTTAACAGCTTCGCAACTTGTGACTAAAAGAATAAGTGCCGTCTTTATGTAACGATAGCATCAGATCACTAGCTGTGGATTTGTCGGAGCGCGTGGGCGCGCAGAGGTGGATTGCARGTAAACTCTAAAACCTGCTAGGTGTTATGACTTAACTTTGTTGTGCGCAGGAATCTGTTTCTCTGCCCTTTTTTTTGACACGACTCTGCTGGAAGAAGCAGCAGAGGATTCCAGAGAGAAAGCGCAGARCTTCACAGCTGACACATGTAGCGTCCTCAGCTGGGACATATTGAGCTCTTATAGCACTGAAATGCAAAACTCGGTAACATGAAACCACATGAGCTATACATATGTGCACTTCTGCACAAAGTGTTGTTGCATTTATTTTTTATTTTATTTAATCTAACCTTTAGAAAATGCACTAAAATTTTAAATCAATACATTTTATAATCGTTTACACTTGAAGAGTCCATGTTTGTTTGTTTCATTTGCTTTTATCTTAGATTTTGGTCGTATCTATTTATCTAAGAAATACTTTCTCATGGAACATCTTCTATAGAGCAATTTTAGGTTATTTAAAGTGAAATTCAGCTTGTGAAATTTCCCTGTGTGAATCAAAGAACAGAAATTGTTTACCTCCAGGAAACTTGGATAAAATKTGGATAGTTCAGAAACACTGTTGATATTGTCAGGCTAAATTCATTTAATTTCATAATTTCATTCTYTGTTTTAGGTCTTTAATAGCCACCWTTATTTCTTGTTTAGTAATCTCATACAATATTCTTCTGCGAACATAAAAGTTCTGCTGCTTTAGGTTTCACTGCCATTTCTTTGTGCCATACGTGACATTTTCGTTTCTTCTCAGGAGAGCGGAAGCGGAAGATTTTGTGCAGCAGGGAGTCTGACAGTGTGGTGGTGTCGGACCAGCGGTGCCACGGTGCAGCTCGACCTGCCGTCATCACCGAGCTCTGCAACACTGAATGTGAACTCAGGTTTGTATTAACTACCTCAGATAATGCTTTTATTACTTGAACGAGATTCTATCAGTAATAAGTGTTATATATACTGTATTTTTAAAGGGATCCATGATTAGTTGTAACATTGGACTTTATTTAATAAACATATATTTTAACTGTAAAATAAAGACTGTAAAAATACAGTAGGCTGTTCATTTTTTATTATTTTTAAACTAAAATTTTAAAAATGTATTACACGGACGGGGCCATTTTATTTACACGCAAAGCATTCTGGGTAAATGATGGATAGGTCCTTGGTGCGAGGCTGCTAGTGAGTCATATCCACCATGAAGAGAGGAGAAGGTAGAAATGACTCAGCCTGTAACTGAAAATATAGCCCCGATGCCATCACCAAATATATGTATTAGCTCAGCGCTACACATTYTCCTCTCGTCACTGAGGTCCTCCTGAGAAGAAACATGACAGAGAGGGGAACACAAAAATGACTCAGCTGCAACTGAAAATATGGATGGAGCACCTCAGTTTAGCTCAGTTTAGTTTGTCGTGTCAGCGCCGAGTTAATACATGTAAGGCAATATAGCGTCGGCCCTAGTGCAAAGGCTAACAGGCTAAGCTGAGGTTCTTCTTCCATGAAGCAGCTCTGTTGTCCTCCATCCATATTTTCAGTTACAGACTGAGTCATTTCTACCTTCTCCTCTCTGTCAACGCTCTCTGGTTTCATTTAAAAGAGCCGATCATCAGATATTTGCCAAGATTATCCTTCAGGGTGGATATAGATTGATAGCAGCACCGCACAAATGACCTACCCACGTCGTCATTTACCCAGAATGCTTTGCATGTAAATAAAATGGCTCCATCCATGTTAAAATATATTTTTAAATGCACAAACAGTCTTTATTTTACAGTTAAAATATAAGTTTATCAAATAAAGTCTAATGTTACAACTAATCAGGGATCCCTTTAATAAACTTGGCTGCTGTAAAACATCAGATCTGATTTATTACCTGACTCAGGTGGCACGTGGCTCGTAAAAGCGAGTGCACAGCTCAGTGTGGCCCYGGATATCGCACCCTGGAAATACACTGCACCAAGTTCAGCCACGCCGACGGCAAGATCCAGAAGGTCGACGACCGCTACTGTAGTGGTCAGCGCAAACCTGATGATAAGGAAGGCTGCCACGGAGACTGTAACCCCGGCGGTTGGGATTACTCTCCCTGGTCAGAGGTACAGTTGCAGAAGTGAGAAGATTTCTCAGCAGAGATGAGACCGTGTTGAAGTTTTTAGTTTTGTTGATGCTCAAGTGTTTGTTTGTGCAGTGCTCCAAAAGCTGCAATGGGGGCACTCGGCGTCGAGGGGCGGTTTGTCGAAAGGCAGCTGAAGGCGGCGCCGACGAGAACAAGTGCAGTCAAAGGGACAAACTGACCGTCCAGTCCTGCAATGATTTTCTCTGTCCACAGTGGAAAACTGCTGACTGGTCCGAGGTCAGTTCTTGTTTTTTCTTTGCTCTCATCTGCTTGACAGTTTTGTGACGTGGTGGTTTTAAAAACAGGTAAGCAGCCATGAATATGAATATGACAAAGCAAATACACGAATGTAACAAAAGTAATGCATTTGCAATTAAAATGGGGGTGTTTTAAGTTAGTCATTTGTCATCATTAAAGGTGTGTCTGTCTGTTAGAAAATGATCTCATAAACAGAACAGACTTTAATGAACCTCTCAGAAAGTAATTGGATGAACATCTAACACTGACTAGCTTTGGGGTCAAATCAAGTCAACATGGTTGAAACAACTAATAAACTTTAGCAAGCAAAATCAATGGTTACAACTCGATAGTTTTTATTGACATTGGGCTAAAATTTTCTGTAGTACTGAGACATATTCCTAACATTCAAAGCACTATCAAATTGCACAAGATATATATTTTAATTCACAATTAAGAGTAAATTATCTCATGAAACAGTGGACAGATTTTGGAAAAAAAAAAACATTTATCGTGTTGTGAAGAGCCTTGTTTTGMTTTAAAGAGACAGCATCAAAATGAGTTGATCTGAGACACACCTCAGAAAAGGGGTGAAAGAGGGGCTTGTGGAGTTACAATAAGGAGGAATTCAGACCAAAGCAATGCAGTTCCACTTCATAAAGACMCCAACTGAATGATTTAAAAGTGAGAAAGAAGGATTTAAAAACATGTCTTCTTTAATGAAGCTTTCAAAAAGTAACCACCTTTGGAGTTTAATATATTGAATAGGGGTGTCCCTATACCAGTTTTTTTAAAGCAAAGAACAAGTACTTCAGTCTCAATAAATGGATTTTTTTTTGAGGGTGTGTGTGTGTGGGGGGGGGGGGGGGGGGGCTTTTGTTTTGTTCTTTGTTTTTGTTTTAGGATTTGTCAGATTGTACTTGTAGTTTTTTCTGTTCTTGTATATTTTACTCATTGCTGTTTGTCTCATTGTCTTTTCTTCCATCTCCTCTCACACCTGTTACTCATCAGTAATCAGCACACCTGTTTTCACTCTGTTATCGCCTTTGCAAATATTTTACTCCTCCATTTTTCTTAACATGTTATCAAATTTCACGTTTACTTTTTTTGCATCTCATCAACTTGTCTTTTATCCTTCTAACCTGTGTTTGTTATTAAAAATATTTCTATTGGATCCCGTCACCCTCTGTCTGCATTTAGGTCCATTTTGAGCAATAGCATAACGTAGTTTCCAGTTAAATGTGGTGCGTGCAACACATTTTTGGAAAGACTTTTCTATTTAGCATTTTAATACCGTTACATAAGACTTGTGTTTATATGTTCATCTGTAAGCAAGATAACTTGGAAATTTAATTGGTGCTGCAGAGAATTCTTGTCTGTTACTGCTATTTCTTTTTCTCTTTTTTGGAGCTGATTATAGCTCACAAATAATTCTGGTTCTCCGAACGTTGTTCACCTCCCTTCACTACAAATGAGTGTTGGGAGAGCGGTGATTACTGTACTGCACAGTTTACACATTGTAGAGCAAGGAGCTTGCAGAACTGTGGGCTGCATTCCAGACATTTTTCAGATCTCCCATGTGTTTCTGCCAAAGCACCATATAAATATGTGTGCTTATAGATAAGTCACTGCAGCTCCGGGGTTTTACTCTTTTAACACAATGATTTGCTTTTAAGTTGCAAACATTAAATCCGGAAATGATGTTTTGGTCTTTTATCCTTAGTCGACATAAATGAACCTAAATAAATTCACTGTGTACGCCTATATAAGGTGAAACGTTTGTTTTTCAGTGCCTTGTAACGTGCGGGAAAGGCTACAAGCACCGCCAGATGTGGTGTCAGTTTGGCGAGGAGCGTCTAGAYGATCACTTCTGTGGCTCGTCCAAACCCGAGTCGGTTCAGACGTGCCAACAACAAGAGTGTGCGTCTTGGCAAGTTGGACCGTGGGGACAAGTGAGTCAACTCTGTGTTTTCAGTATTTTTAGTACACAGCAGACACAGTATTTTTTCAAGGTTTGAATTAATTTTTTTTTTATTTTCAGTCAGTATGAAAGCTGATTGATAAAGTTTAACACCTAATGCATTCTAGATGCCTGCAAATACACCTGCTTGACGTTTACATTAGACACTCACTGGGTCAAACTGGTGAAGCGTTTGTTTGAATTGAACGGGAAACTGTTTTCACACTGGTCTTGTTCCAGCTGGAGTTTGAAATTAAGTATTTTGAAAGAGAACTAAAAAGTAGAGGGGATCTGGCTTTTGCCTCTCGGGATTTGTACTACAGAGTCTGTTGAGTCTTTTAAATCCTGCCTGAAAACTCACCTTTATACACTGGCTTTTAATTAAAAGTATGGTTTGAGTTACAATTTGGAATTGAGTTAGTTGATCTGTTTTTAGCCTTTTTTTCTTGTAATTTATGTTTTTCCCTCCTTGTGAGGCACTTTGGTCAACACTGTTGGTTTTATACCTGCTGTGTAAATACATTGAGTCATTTGTTCATTCTTTTATTCATATTTTTTTATTGACTTGTATGACCAGATTTTTTACTTGTTATGTCTTGAAACCTGTTTACGTTTTAAAGGTTGAAACACAGTCACAAATGCAAAATCCACTTTTTAAGCCATTAAATACATTTTGTTGTGTATATGGAGTCTCTAGGAGTGCAGAAAAGTTGAATTTAGTCTCTCCTGGTGCTGTGACAATATCTTTATATTCTGCTTGGGTCATGTTTTTCAACTTGTTCAGTTTTCTCTATTTTCTATGACATTTTYKGAACTATYRTGTCAAATTATTTGAGACGGATTGGGCATACCAACTGCAGTTTGGTCGTCTTCATTATCCTCTGACTCTGGGTCAGACTCTGGCTCCAAAATGTAAGTCTGGAAGGACAAGTTGTTGATATTGTTGTTGGCTTCTTTTAATTAATTAATTTAATTAGTTGATTTAAAGAGACAGCCTCAAAACGAGTTGATCTGAGACACCTCAGAAAGGGGGTAAAAGAGGGGCTTGTGGAGTTACAGTAAGGAGGAATTCAGACCAAAGCAYTGCAGTTCCACTTTGTATAGACCCCAACTGAATGATTTCAATGTTAAAAAGAAGAATTTAAAAGCAGGACATGTCTCCTTTAAGCCATTCTATAAATCCACCCCACAAACACAGATACACATACTTTTCCTCGTGGTACAAACACTG